CCAGTAGACATGAGACCAACATTGGCACCAAGTCGGCATAATAAAATCCCCATATCAGTTAGACAGGTATGAAGTGCCTTTTGTCTTTGGTGTTTTTTCATATTTGTAAACATGGAGATGAACCTGTTCTTGTTAAATATTATATTTATGATACTTTTTTCACTGCCTTGGAGGTTAAGGCAAACATTTTTCATGACTTTCAAGATTATTACTCTATTAGAACTGGTTACATCCCTGCTTATTAGCATAATTCTGAATCATATATTGTACAGACACAGCTTTATCGCTTGACAGAGTTGTTCCTAAGAAAAGCAAATCTGCCGGTCATTCGCCGAACTGCAGAAACAGAGCTGGCTGTTGCTGACGCAATTAATATTGAAAAGGAGGTTGCTGACCGATCGAACAGCAAAGTGGTATATTTGAATCTCTGTTCCCGGGAAATATCACATCGTTCAGATGACAAGTTTGTAAGGGCCAGAGAGTCAAACACTTCATCCCTGTCTGAAGCTCCTATTGATAGACAAGAACAAGGTAGCAGTGAGTGTTCAGCAGACCCTGTGGTAGAAGAAGCATTGCGAGCTGCTGGCCTTTTGTCTGATTCTCCACCAAATAGTCCACGTTGTAAAAGAGAGGTCCCCAATGAAGTTGATGATTCCTCAATAAAAGTTGAGGAGGAAGAGCCTGATAATATATTCGAAATGGATTCACATATGGAGATGGACATATATGGTGATTTTGAGTATGACCTAGAAGATGAAGATTATATTGGTATGAATGCTGAGAAAGTTCAAAAGCCACAACCAGAAGAAAGTGTGTCAAAAATGAAAGTAGTTTTCTCCACCATTGCCACTGAGAGGTCAAATGATGTAGTAGGTCTAGAAGATCATGGGAGATTAGGGAAGGTTGAACTACCCACTGATTCATTATACATGCAGAAGAACAACACTGATGCAGCAATTAGACCCTTGACTGTGGAAGATGGGACTAATAAGACCTGTGTTCCTCTAGAAACATTACCTGATGAAGAAAATGAAGAACTTTCTCTCGCAGAATGTGAAGAGTTATATGGCCCGGACAAAGAGCCACTTATCAATAAAATTCCTGAAGAATCACAAAAGCCATGTGGGATGGTGGACACCAAAGCTTCAGCTGTCAACGAGGTTACTGCAAATGGTGAAAATGCTGCACTAAACCAAGGAGTAAATGCATCTAAATCTGACGCAGATATCAAGGCAGGAAATCTACTTGCTAATGTTGGACAGAGCTCATCCAGTTGTGAACATACAGCTGACATTAATCAAACAGGTGAAAATATCCAAAAGAAAGGGACCTCCAGTACAGAGATCAACAAGCAATGTGATGTTAATCCTGTATCTAAGAAGGTATTTGATGATGCTTTTGAATTGTTTAGTGACTTTAGTATTGGTACTGCAAATACTTATATTACACAGACCACGGGAAGATTGAAATTCTCACTTCATCATCATTTCACTGTGAGCTTCCTTTCTCACAATTTCTTTTATTTTGATTCTGTTATAGGTGGAGACCTACATCAAAGAGCATATCAGACCACTCTGTAAGAGTGGTGTAATCACAGTTGAACAGTATCGGTGGGCTGTAGCAAAGACGACCGATAAGGTCATGAAATACCATGTAAATGCCAAGAATGCAAATTTCCTAGTCAAGGAAGGTGACAAGGTAAAGAAACTTGCTGAACAATATGTTGAAGCAGCACAAGGAGGACAAAAATGATCCTGTGTGATAAGTTTGATAACACGTATTTCCACTTCATATCTTATTCCTGAGAGCTCCTTCTGTTTTCTGAACCCATCCCAACCTACAATCCAATTGTTTGTCCTATAGTTGAGGGACATAACCCCATGAGGCATACATTGTATAAATAGAAATGCAATTTTAGACAAAACAGGACCCTTCCTGGTCGGAAGGAGAAGAGTAGTTGTAAATTTGTACTTCGAATTTCAATGCGGTGTGCGGGGCAGGCAAGACCTTCTTCTTGCATTAACTCTGTTCCTTGACTGTGACACGCACCAATTTGTGCTAGTCTGTATGGCTGAGCCTAACCTAACCAGTTTTTGTTGGGTGAGTGGTTGGTCGGCGGGTTCGCTGGTCAGGTTAGGGGTTTTTTCTTGGTTAAATTCCTACTTTAGTCCCTCAACTATTATATGGATTATTGAGTTGGTTTTTGAACTAAAAAAATTCTTTATTTAGTTTTTAAAATTTTTAAATCTTTCTATTAAAAATAGCTGACGTGTTTATTATTTGATGGTAAAAGGTTATTACTTAATGGCTAGTTGGCTACGTATCATGTTTAATGGCTACGTATCATGTTAGTAATAAAACATGTCAACTATTTTTATGTAGAGGGAGTAACTTGGAGCTAGAAACTTTAAGGACTAAATCAGAGGTTTTTTCAGTTTAGGGATCAACTCAAAAGTTTGTACAATAATTAAGGAGTCAAATCGGGGGTTTAACTTTTTTTCTTGTCCTCTTCCTTCTTTTTTTTCGGTCACTTCTACTTACGGGGAAGAACTCAAAATGTAAAACCTTCGAGTGTGTTCCGGCCCACAAAATGCTGGCTACAACCCAGGCCCATTTTACCCAAAGATATCTCCCTTTTTGTTTTTTGTTTTTTTGTTTTTTTTAATGCAGCCTTTTTCTGATTCGGATAAGCCGGGAAACATGGTCTGGTCGGATTCCCAAATTCTCAACAGAACCTCTTATAAACCCTAACCTGAGTGATGGATGAATTCTATGATGCCAATTTTCCCTCCGCAAAGAGATGACTAATCAAAATCGTAAGCTCTAATCCTTCGATTTCTGCTCAACACAATGAGCACTGTTGATCCTCTCTACGCAGCAACGCTTCATTTCCCAAATTCCTGCAAAAAGCTTACCAAACCAACAAAGTCCTGGAATTTCATCCGAAATTTTCAATCAAGAACTCCATTTCTTCGCCGATCATCCACTGTTCTTTGCTTGAATTCCTCACAGTCCGGTGACCCTGCTAGACCCAAGGAGGATGATTTCGTGACTAGAGTTTTGAAGGAAAATCCTAGCCAGGTAGAACCCAGGTATCTAATAGGCAACAAGTTGTACACTTTGAAGGAGAAACAAGATTTAACTAAAGGTACCAATGTGGGTCTGATCGAGAATTTGGCGAGAAAGTTGAATTCAAAGGCTAAATCGAACAAAGAGGGCAGTGAGAGTGAAGCGAGGAGTGGGAGTACCGATGTGTATTTGAAAGATATTTTGAGAGAGTTCAAGGGGAAGCTTTATGTTCCCGAGCAGATTTTTGAGGCTGAGTTATCTGAGCAAGAGGAATTCGACAAGAATGTGGAGGAGCTGCCTACGATGAGAATTGAGGATTTTATGAAAGCTATGGAAGCTGATAAGGTTAAGTTGTTAACTTCAAAGGAGGTTACTGGTGCTTCATATGGAAGTGGGTATAGGGACTTTATTGTGGATTTGAAGGACATACCTGGTTATAGAAGTCTGCAAAGAACAAAATGGTGGATGTTATTGTTATTTCTCCTCTTCTGTTCTTAAAATTGTCTCTTTGCAGTTCATTGTTTTAAATTATGGCTTCGTTACCATTTTAGGGCAATGAGGCTAAAAGAGAGTGAGGCTCAAGCTCTTCTGCAAGAGTACATTGGTCCAAGATATGAAATTCAGAGCCAAATGAAGGTGACTAATCTTTTCATCTGGGATTGCTAGTTTATGATTAGTTGGTTTTTATAACTGAGAGGGCTTCTCTGAGTTAAGAGTGCTGTGTTTTTCCCTTTTTTTATCTTTGCAATGTCATGCAATTATAGGTTACATCATTGAGACTCCCAGTCATGCTTTTCTACAGCATTGTCAGTGTATAGAAGATAGAGACCAAGAAGCTTTGACGCAATAAATATCAAATGAAAATGGGTAATAGTGAAGTTTTCATGCATTTAGACCTATATATATATATATATATATATGCATGTTATGCAATATTTACCTAGGTTAGTTAGGGGGTAGAGAACTAACTTATATTCTCTTTTAATGGTAATGGTGTGGCTCTTACTTGATGTTATGTCGAATATGGTTCACATCATACATATAATTGTAAATGTTTCATACGCTGTCTTTCTGGATCTCTTATTTATCTGTGGCAATGCTAAAACCCTGGCTGCAGTCTTGGGTGGGAAAAGTACCAGAGTACCCACATCCAGTGGCATCCTCCATATCAAGCAGGATGATGGTAGAGCTTGGAATGGTGACTGCCATAATGGCTGCTGCTGCAGCTGTTGTTGGAGGGTTCCTAGCCTCGGCTGCGTTTGCTGTAACCAGTTTCATCTTTGTAACAACTATACATGTTGTATGGCCTACAGCCAAACAATTTCTTAAGCTTTTTCTTGGTGGAATCTTCAGTATTCTAGAGAATTTTTGGGATGATGTTGTTGATATCTTCAGTAAAGGTGGATTTTTTTCCAAGCTTTATGAAATTTATAATCCCAGTGATATATCTGCAAGTCTCAAGGTCCTACTTCCAATCACGCTTATCCTTTTGGGGATGGTCCTTGTTGTCCGTTTCACGCTTTCAAGAAAACCTAAGAACTATACAAAATGGGTAAATATCCTTCAACTTAAATTTTGAGATTATTTTAGTTCTTTAATCGATTCCCAGGTGGACACATTACCATTTCTAATCTTTCAGGACATCTGGCAAGGCATTGACTTTACAAAATCCAAAGCAGAAGCTCGTGTTGATGTTAGTCTCTAATAATTACTCCCACTATAAATGGACCTCAATTTTTCCAAAGTTTTGATGAAATTCTTATTCTACTTTTAAATTCCATTAGGGTTCTACCGGAGTTAAGTTCAGTGATGTTGCAGGCATAGATGAAGCAGTTGAGGAACTCCAGGAGGTATTCATTATGCCTTTTTGAAAAATTAATTTCCAGTTTTGAACGTTTCATCTCTGCTGCCTTAATTCTGCAACTTTGCACTCTTTTCCGTTCATTTTGATCTTCAAGTCAACCCTGCTAATAATTTTTGTGGACTCTTAATATTTCCTGATTAGTTGGTGAGGTACTTGAAGAATCCAGAACTGTTTGATAAAATGGGAATAAAGCCTCCACATGGGGTTCTCTTGGAGGGCCCTCCTGGATGTGGCAAGGTTGGTTTTATTCAGTGCTGCTTTGCAAAATTTATTAGTCAATTTCTCTTATGAAAACTGAGATTTCTCTTGCTTCTTCAGACTCTTGTTGCTAAGGCTATAGCTGGCGAAGCAGGTGTTCCATTCTACCAAATGGCAGGCTCAGAATTTGTGGAAGTCTTGGTTGGTGTTGGCTCTGCTCGTATCAGGGATCTGTTCAAGAGGGCAAAGGTGATTGGCTGTAAGAAATTTCTTGTTGCTAAGAATATTTATGATTATGGTTTGTTTTGATTCATATACTCAAAGATTCATGGTTTCTCTTTTCAGGTAAACAAACCATCAGTCATATTTATCGATGAAATTGATGCTTTGGGAACTAGGTATTGCTTTATTGCTGTCCCTCCTTCCAATCCCTACCCCACCCTGCTTTTTTCTGTCTTCCTTTTATGTAGACATAATAAATTTATGAATACCATTCATTCAGAACATACACATTGTAGTCCTTATGTGATTAAGGAATGTCCTATGTACCGGCAGATCTGGTCAGCTGCAAGATGTCAAAACTGTCATCCAAAGTGCTTAGATATTAGGAGACCTGCTTTGAGTAAATTTAGGATATTAATCTATAGAGTAGATGGGATATGAATGATTTTCAATAATTTTGTGTTTGTTTCTATATGATCAGGCGTCAAGGGACTTTCAAGAATTCATCTAATGACCTATATAATGCTGCCATTCAAGAGAAGGAAACTACATTGAATCAGTTATTAATAGAGCTTGATGGGTTTGATACCGGCAAAGGTGTTATATTTCTTGGTGCTACAAATCGGAGGGATTTGCTGGATCCTGCACTTCTTCGACCTGGTCGTTTTGATCGTAAGGTCTACTTCTACTGAATTCGAAATGTAATTAGTTTCTTTTTTTAACTCCCATTGTAAAAGGGGGAAAAGGAACAGAAAAGGAAAAGAGGGGGCTCAATCGTGTTTGTTGATTTTATGGGAACTATTGGCTTGACTTAAGTTTGGGATTACACCATCAACTTGATTTCTGTCATGCACCATCTTTTGGTTGGGTCCTTCATCCTTGATGTTTATTCCAGGGAATATGCTCATTAATTTGGTTATCCTTAACACATTATGCTAGCTTTGTTAAGTAATCCCAGTTGGCTTTTGCTCATCATCATCCTTTCCTTTGTCCTATAGATAAGGATTCGCCCTCCAAATGCTAAAGGGAGATTGGAAATTTTGAAAATTCATGCACGCAAAGTGAAGATGTCAGAATCTGTTGATCTATCCTCTTATGCAAAAAACTTACCTGGTATGCAGTTTTTTTTTTTTTTTTTTGGCCATCACCTGGGGTGCTATAAACTTATGCTTGAACTACATTATTCTTTTCTCTAAATAGGAATGTACTTAATGGTCTCTTTTTGAATATGAATGTTGTGATTCTGTTGTAAGGATGGACTGGAGCAAAGTTGGCTCAACTTGTTCAAGAGGCTGCTCTCGTGGCTGTCAGGAGAGGTCATGAGTCAATCCTTCATCCAGATATGGATGATGCAGTTGACCGACTTACAGTTGGACCTAAACGTATTGGTATAGAGTTGGGTCATCAAGAACAGTGTCGTCGAGCAACAACTGAAGTGGGAGTTGCCATGACTTCTCATTTGCTAAGGCGGTATGAAAATGCAGAACTTGAATTCTGTGATCGCATTTCAATTGTTCCCCGTGGGCAGGTCCTCTTTCTGTTCCTTACTTTATGTACTTCTCTTTCATTTTCTTGCCACTGTCTATGATTGATAAAAATGCATCCAAGTTATTACTGCAGACATTATCACAACTTGTGTTTCATCGGCTTGATGATGAATCATACTTCTTTGAGCGTCTGCCACAATTGCTGCATCGCCTTCAGGTGTGTATTTGAGTTGGTAATTTGACTATTGGAGCACTTTCCATTTTCTGATAGCATTGTTTACTTAAATGAATCCGTGCATGAAGGTTTTCCTTGCAGGAAGAGCTGCAGAGGAGGTCATTTATGGGAGGGACACATCCAAGGCATCAGTTAGCTACCTTGCAGATGCATCTTGGCTTGCTCGTAAAATCTTAACCATGTCAGTTCCCTCAGAAACTGCTACATACTTTTTGAATTCTTCTCCTTGTGGTTTGACATTAAGGTCTTTATTGTCCCTTCATCAGATGGAACTTGCAGAATCCAATGGTCATACATGGAGAACCACCACCATGGAGAAAGAAAGTTAAATTCGTGGGTCCACGCTTGGATTTTGAAGGATCCCTTTACGACCATTATGGGATGATCCAACCCCCTCTCAACTTCAATCTAGATGATGAAGTTGCCCACAGGACTGAGGAGCTACTGCACGACATGTATGGAAAGACAGTGTCTCTCCTTCAGAGGCACCAGGCAGCTCTGCTCAAAGCTGTGAAGGTAACTTGATCAGAAGAATGTCAATATATTACCAGTTTCGTTAACCCCCAAGATCAGAGAATGTTAAAATTGGTGGGTTCTGTTTTTTTTGGCTGCAGGTACTTGTGAATCAGAAGGAGATGAGGGGAGAAGAAATTGACTTCATCTTAAATAATTACCCTCCACAAACTCCACTGAGTCGTCTCTTAGAAGAGGAAAATCCGGGAAGCCTTCCTTTCATCAAACTCAAACAGGATGAATCACCAGACTTAGAGTCAATGGAGATGGCAGACAAACATTGATTTCCATGCGGAGAACGTGCGCATATGTAACATTTTGGTGTTTCTTTTTTTTAAATATTATTATTTTGTTTTATTAGATGGTAAATGACAATAAATTTTTCTCCTATCTTATCTACTTATTATGTAGCGTAGAGTTTCGATATTTAAAGATCCTT